AGCTAATTCCCTCAGTACTCTAGGGAAAAGTCAGTTTTGTGTGTTCAGTGCTTCTTTATGGCTAGCAGCAACAGGCAGGACATGACTTAAAATCACCAAACCTTTGCAGGTCACCTTTAAATGGCAAGACTGGACTGTTCCTTGGACACTTATTATCCATAAACTTATTGTTCTTATTAGCTACTTAGGCTTTTCAGTGATATAGCAGCTATGCAGCAGTTCTTAGCAGCAGGGACTATATCACAGAAAAGGTGTGGAAGCAAATCAAATGACAGTTTAGTCTTGCTTTCAGCAAACGTATCTAAGATTTCTCATAGACTCTCTTCATAGTCACTTTTTACATCAGAGAAAGAGCTAGCAGGTTGAGCAATTCATCACTGTTTTTAGGATCCTGAAGATTAATGGGTTTCTAAAATACTGATGAAAGGTACGTAATGAGGATCTCCTAATCACTAAATTCAACCTGCTTATTTTTCACCTCTCTAAGATAAGGTTCTTTCAAAATATTTCCACCTCCATCTCCCTATCTGATGACTGTTGGAAGACTGCTCTCCCCTTCCAAAAGGGCAGAGAGCTTCACGCTCCCCAACTTGCTTGCACACATCTGGCTTGCCTCAACCTAAAGGAAATTCAGGTCTCCTTTTTACCTTGCTGCTTCCGGTTTTTGGTTGCGATAAAGCCTACTTTTACTTTTGCAAGGAGACTGGAGCTGGTGAAAGAGAAAGTACCAGTAAGTAGGGTAAGCTAGAGGGTGCAGTTCCTGCCATTGTTGGATACAGGTAACTTGGATTCGCACTGTGACTGAAGTATAGCCTGTTACTTTTGCGAAACAGTTTCATCCCATGTCCTTGCTATATCCTGAAGAGGCAGGTAAGTCGTTAGTGACATCCTCCAGGAATTCTCTTGCTTTTCTAAACTGAGCGGTCTAAGGGCAGCTATTATATTTCTCATATAGCCTTCTTTTAACATATTTTGATATTTTATTTCTCTAGAAGTTATTCTTCTATTTAGAAAATTCCCTTTCTCTCCCCCTCTCTCCATAATGGTTCATTTTTGATCAGTCTAAGTTTAAACATATTTGATACAAGCCGTTATCAGTCCTGGAAAGCAAGAAAGGTAATGGGCATATTTGCATCTAAAAATAGTGACATTCTTTTACACCAAACCCTGCTTTTTCTCTTAGGAATAGTTGTTTCAGGCTTGTAAACAACAGTTTAATGTGTAAAAGGGGCACATGTTGCAGTAACCAACATTTCCCTTGGATGTTTCCCATCCAAATAGAAATATCTTGTCCACCTGATAATTTAAAATAATGAGATAAAGTGCATTCAAATTGGCAAGCCCTGCTTTTCTAGCATAGACTGACTGCCTGTATTTGTCATTTCCTCTGACTCCAACAACATATTGCTATCCAGTTGTATTTTTTTTTTTTAAATTGCAGTTCACTGTGCTCCCCACACATTATAATCCAGCAACAAAGCAGGGGAAAGGACTGCTGAATGCCTGAATATGCACAGCATTAGAACCTCAGTGCCATTCATTGAAGATATGTCTTAGTAAAGGACCTGATGAAGAACGCATTGCATTTTAAAACTTGTTTAACTTTACTCCGACCATGCAGCTGGGCCAGTGAAATATATCGCCTTAAAATCCTTTTCTCTTGCATAAGTCCTGGATTATTGTGGCTACAGCATCACTCTGACACTATCACTCTTCTCCATAAAGGATTGTTCAGCAATTTCAGGTGCCACTTTATTGGGCTGGGTCTCTTTTCCTGGGTCTTCAAGTCAGTTCACAGCAGCTGGCCAGAAAGGATCCTGAAGAGTTTGGGCTCCCCCTGCTGGACTTGACAATAATCCTTCCCAGTTTGGGGTAGCATGTGGCTTACATGTTGGAGCCCCACTCCCCCGCCATAGTAGATCCCATCTGTTATACATGCCCATGTTTAGAATATTCAGAAAGAGAAGAACACTAATCGCTCTTTATTAGCTTCTTGTCAAGGGAAGAGCTAGCAGAGAATATGCTTTTAACACTTGAGCCATGAAGGCAAACAGACGGCACATACTGACTAGGACTTGGGAATAAGGGCAATGAAGTAGCAAGGCAAGTGAATCTTCATTAGTATAATTTGAGCCCAAGAAATTAATAGGCAGGTAATAGCAGCTCCACTTGGTGTATGCACTGAGGGCTGACTGCATGCTCCGATTATTCAGGGTCAGTAAAACAAAGGGGTGGGTGCCCTGTGATGTTAGGGAAACTGCCAAGATGAGGAGTCTAATGGCTGTCAGCAACCACAAACAGCTTTGCAAACTAGACAGCACTCAAAAATTCTCCAACCAGTTATGCCTACAGATTTGCAATTCTTTCTAGTAATCATTCCTTCTAAGTCCATGATCCTGAAGCGCAGACAAGCGTTCAATAAATGGCCATTTCCACTTTTGTTTTGCTTCCCTACTGTGACACCGCTTGGTAAGAATCTTCCCAAGAGTGCAGTATGCAGCAAAGTGCCATATCAAGCTTTATGGCATTTAATTCTCCTCAGCAAATTAACAGGAAATTTAGTGTAATTTCCGTGCCCCCTGAAGGAGGACATACTTTGGATATACATTAGTTGCAATCCCAAATAACTTGTCTGATAGTGAAATTCTCTCCCAAAGAAATGCCAGAATTTCTCCTCCGAGCCGGCATTCTAGATGTCGTCATACAAAAGAGATTCAGAGCTCTTGGAGACGAGACGAGAAGTATGCATTTAGATTAAAGGTTTTGGTAGGAAGTAAAGCGTGTCTGCATTTGAATTAATGATTTCTCCTAGGTCCCAGGATTCTCCCATTTCCTGACCTCTCAAACACATGCAGGTCTTGAGGCAGCATGTCTGACTTTGGCACAGATTCCTGGTCCTGGTTTAGAGTGTAAGTGGTGTACTCTCTTTGTAGCCTGCTAATTAGGGATGAAAAAACCAATATGAAACGTCTAATGCTAAATTTGTTCGCTCAGAGAGACTGTTCACAATGGAATAGCCAGTCTTCTTCTAAGCACTACATCCAGAAGGTACCTTCCAGAAGCTTCCGAGATCTTTACTGACACACGCTCATTGTAGATTGTCACCAGCAATGCTATATTGGGGGTTTTCCAGAGCACTCATCTCGCTAGTATCTGCATGCTTCCAATGCCAGCCTAGCTGTCAGGACTAAGGTGAAAGTTGCTTGGGGTGTTACGTTTTGCTTTGTTCTCAAGATAAATCTATAACGCACAAGGATCTTGCTGCTACGACAGAGCCATTTGTGGGTAAACTAGTCCAAAGAGAGCACTTGCTGGCATGGCCATCCCTAATGACTACCTGGTAAAAGCAAACATATATACAGTAAAGCAAGCTCTGCAACTAATTGACTACTTATTTTTTATCAGCTACTAAAATATCCTGCTACTCTTGTCTCAGACCCTGGAGCCTCTGGGGTCCTTCTTACTGCTGCTCAGGGAAGAACTTTTCTTCTGAGAGGAACTGGAAAAGTAGGCGCCATAAATGTCAAACCCAAATACCTCCTGGTGCTGGTGTTCTACAATACAGCAGTTGCAGCAGCTTGAGTGGAGCGATCCTGCCTAGAGAGAAGAACCTGGGATAGATTTATATAACCAATACCTGCCTGTCAAGGATGGAAATTTTCATGAATTTTCCACCTCACAACTGGGCCACATTTTCATTGAGACTTTCAACCACACATCCAACATTTTAGAATTGAGAGTAGTCAGAAGGGTCTAAAGCATCATTTTTGCTTTCTCTTTATGCCCATAACTCAGACAATTCTTTGTGGAGAGGAAAAGGGTAGGATCATCCTAATGTCTACAGACTGTTTCTGTAGGGCAGAACTGAGGGCTTTTTTTAAGGGAGAGCGCCACTGAAAAGATGCACTTGTACAGTCTAGACCTGCATCAAACAGTAGCAGGCACTTGCTTCAGATCAAATGAAGAAAGATGTTAGTGTTGTCATGCTGTTAGAGTACAACACATCTTTCTTACAGTGTGAAACTAGAGACAAGACCTAGTGAATTTCTTCTGGAATATGTATTCGTTTTTTGCTTTCAAGACTAGATGTCTGGATTCATAGATTTCATAGACATTAGGTCTGGAAGGGACCTCATCAAGTCCAGCCCCCTGCCCCAGGGGCAGGAAGTCAGCTGGGGTCAAAGGATCCCAGCAAGATAAACATTCAGTTGTTTCTTAAAGGAATCCAGAGTAGGTGCTTGCACCACTTCTGGAGGCAGTCTATTCCAGGCCTTGGGGGCTCAGACAGTAACAAAGTTTTTCCTTATGTCCAGCCTGAAGTGCTCTTGGAGGAGTTTGTGATTATGAATGTAGAAGACGAATTGAGTGTGTCTGCATTTCCAGGTTTCGCAGAGCTGCTTTCCTTCAAAACCATCCAGAGTGCTGTATGTTCTCCATAGAGCCTTAGGCCGGGGTTTTCCACCTTCAGCGCCAGTTTTTCAGTTGGGTCTCAACTTCTTTGCTCATACATACAAGTGTTGCACTTTGCAGGTGCAGATATTTGTATGTGTACATGTTTTAAAAAAACAAAACAAACAAAAAACTTGTCTGTACACAGATATCATAATTAATGTAATGCTGTTTAGTGTCCTGTGAAGTGAAGGGTAGTGCATACTGTGTTTGATATGCAAGTCGACTCTTTGCCCTTAAAAAACAGAACTTTGATATACATGTAGTAAATAATAAAGGTTCAGATGTAAAATAATCCACTCTTTCTTGGGGGGTTGTGTCTGCTAGCATATTTTTAGCTAGTTATTGGACTTGGAATGTGAAAAGTTCTGCCCTGGTTGACCCAATTCTGCCTTTCCACACCTGCATGCCCAATATGGACAATTGTTATCAATGTTAGCACATATAGTCCTGCTTTGAACGTTTGGCATCTGGAATATGTTTCCTTGGAATTGCGCGATTTAAGCGAATTTAAGTTCTTGTGGTTTATTCTTCACTTTTGTGCTTTTCAGGCACTCTGCCAACACAAGACAAGCCCTCTCAGAGACAGTCAGAGAGCACAAATTGCAGCCCTTCCAGAAAGAGATCAGCGTCTGAGAGCACATCTTCTACAGGCAAGTAATATTTGGGCTTTAAGTGTTTCAGGCTACTATGATTATAGCTACTTTACAATGTCTAGCCAAAGCAGAAGTGCCCTAAGAGCCCTCAAGGTACTGTGGCATAGACATGGGGATGCCATGTTCTCCTACCCCTAAAAAAGGCATGTCTATGCTGCAGATATACCTGAGCTAGCTTTCAGTGAAGTAGCTTGGGTGCCAGAAGCAGTTTAACCATGGTAACAGGAGTTCAATGCAGGATAGATAAGCCCAGGAGAAGATTCATTCTCCTGTAGCTAGAATTTTTCCATTCTTTAAAGCTAACTCAAATCTCTGCGCTGCACTGTAGTCAGTATTGTAGACATGTCCTAAAGCTTTTAGTTGTGTACTGTGCCTTTCTTAAAGTAACAATTAATCACAATTAATTTTGCTGAATAGTAGCCTTGTTTCCTGTTCACCCCATATCTAGCTGATTGTATCTTTTGACATAGTCACCTTTTGAACTGGAACTAGCCGTGTCTCTTCCCTTTCCTGAGGCTGTTTCTTTCCCTTGCCTCCCTAGGAATCATGCAGATCCTGTTGTATTTCTACCCTGTTTCCCCATTCTTTTATTTTTGGCCTGTTTGTCTCTTGTAGAATTCCAGGGTTGAGAGGGACCTCGATGGTCATCTTCTACCTCCCATGTCTCTCAAGCCTCACCTTTTTTATTATTATTTAAGAATATTAGGACTTTAGGTCATGTTACTATAATTTATTTTAGGTCTATACTGTTCCTACCGCAGTTGAGACCAGTTTACTTGTAGCTTTTGGACATTACGGCATATAGTGGTTCAAACTAATAATACAGCAAGGGATGCCTTAAAATGCAAGGATGGGTTGTGTCACTATGCAGTTTATATTAATAGTATGGCTGTTTTCTGCTGTGTAAATAGAATACCAGTTGTCATTCAACTGCTAGCGCAGTAGCTGAAGGACTACATAAAATGGTAAACCTTCAACAGACAACATACATGATCATCTCGTACAACAGAAATTAGATAAGTGGTGTAACTATCAGCCATTGCAAAAGTTTTTTATTGTCATTTTGTCGTGGCTTCCATGACAAGTGTCCAGGGGTATGCTAAGATTGTTGAACGCCTTTTCAGTCTGAACAAAGGTGTTTGACAGATTCATTTGTGAGCATGGCCACATTAGAGCAGAAATGTCCTATCCAGCTGGTGGATCAAGTTGTATATAGAAAAACGTTAGAAGCTCAGATTATTTCTAATACAAGAAAAGCACTGGGTGAGGACTGAAGGGCAGTTTTATCAGCACCAAAAAGAACAAGCTGCTGATATTGCTGGTAATACCATTTCTGCTTTTAGAGTCTTTTAGGTCCTAAGCATATTGTGTGTTTCAGTGGTTTTTGTCATAGAAGGCTGCTTTGTTACAAAGTGCTCCAGGCATGCATGACCAGGGCTGCAGCTGTCATTAGGATCATACAGTTTATTTGTCTGATCCCTTGGGGTCAGTTTCAAACCAGGAATACCAGTTCAAGGACAGGCCATCAGACTGCATGTCCTAAAATGTGTAGGGTTGTGTGGTTTGGTTATCACTAGTTAGCACAGCTGTTTACAAAACTCAAGTTTACGAAACAGACGGCGTTCCTACAAGGTATCCCAGAGATGTTCCTTTTTCCTTAACGTTTATCTCAAGGTCTGTAAGAAAGCTGAGGTTAACTTTTTTATCTGTAATATTACATCTCAAATTGAAAGCAGAAAGTGTGATTCTTCCCATTGCTTCCAGTGAGAGTGATTGTGCTGTGTTTTCCATTTGCTTCTAACTGCTGTGACCTAGCATAAATTAACTTTAATTTGTTTCCAGAGGCCTTTAGGAAGTGATTTTCCCATAGAAAGATTTTTAGAACTTGAAGTGCTGATTCCTTCTCATTTAAATTGTCTTCTGGTCTGAAAACCATTGTCACTTCTCCTTATAGATTTGTTACTTGGAAGCTCTGCAGTAAAGGCATATGTTTTCATTAATGTTCTTTTTCTTGTCTCCAGAGTACTTGATTTGGACTGGTGAACACAAATATTTATCTTCAGCTGTCTTTGCCTTATCTTTGTCAGCTAATATGCAGTCTCCCTTCTGCAGCAAGATGCAAGCCTTGTTGACAGTAGTGCTTCCTGGTGTCTTCCTGTAAAAGTTAATCCTACACCAAAACACCACAGCTCTTTACCATTTGCTGCCTTACAGCTAGCAGTTTAAGTAGACCTGATCTCAGTAGTTGCTACTAATTATTTTCAAATTTTGTAAATGCACATTTGTAATTGGTATTTCTCCTAATCCATCCATCCACCTTCTAAAAGTTCCATCCTGGGGCTAGTCTGGATGGTGTGTGTTGAAAAATCATATCAGTGCTGATAAGTGAAGGTATGAGCTGAGATGATGGAAACTTGTCAAGTATTTTTCTTCTCAATATTTTCCTAACATTGCCAGGCAAGATCTGGGTTTGTCTGAATGTTCCAACATCCAGAGTGGAAGGTACATGGCTCCTTCAGCTCATATATGAGGGTTATGTCGTTAAGGCTTGCCCAGAGACAGAGATTGTCTTCATTACTACTGTTAATGGAGCATCCCCAGCCTTAGTGTTGGCAGTTGAAGTCACCTGTATGTAAAGTTGTCTGGTTGTAAATAGGCAGGGATACGAATGACAGCGCAGCAGAGGTTGGCTTGTATATATTAACAGTGATAATATCATTGACCTGGACAGCGCTATGTTCTGTTGCATTCTGGGAGGTGTTATGTCCCTTGGTAGTGTATGGCAGGTCATTTCTGGTACAGGTAGCAAGGCCATGGATCCTGCTGGCTACAGAGTCTGCAAGCCTGTCACTCAAGAGCATCTTCCACAGATGCTCTGCATGTGTTTCTTGTAGAAGAACTGCATGTGGTTTCATTTCCCTTGTGATGCATTCCAGCACTGATTGCTTGAGTGAGGTATAGCCTTCAGCACTAAGTTGAAGAACAGTAGAGCTTTCACTTGTAGATCAGAGTGGTCTGGCTCATCCTGTACTTAGTATATCGAAATTGGAAAAAATCAAGTCCAGTTGCCTTAGTAGTGACTTGTAGATTTGCTTTATAGTTATTCATGGGAGGCACCACAAGAAGACTGAGCACATCTGTTTAATTCCAGAGAGCTAATAAATCTTAGGTTTAAGAACCAACAGGCCAGCCTTGGGAAAAAATGTTCACTTGGAAATAAATCCCTTCTTACACTGCATCATCGGTATAGCCAATCTGAAAACTGTCTTCCAAATGAGTGTGCAGCTGAAGATGCACAGCATGTAATATTTATGTTGTAGAAAATGAGGTAAAATTGTTTCAGCTAGGTATTCCAGGTTAGAGAAGTGTTATCAGTAGTTTCTATACCAGGACAGGCAAAGTTCAGCCTGCGGGCTGAATTCAGCTCACAAGAGACTCCATTTCCCAGCAGCCCCTACCCATATCACTGTGGTCAGTTTCCATGGAGACCCCAGGAGGCCATGGTTTCTATGGAGACCTGCCCAAGCAGCGCTGGCAGGGCACATGGCTAGGTGGGGTGCTGCTCCAGGGCTGGGGCTGGGATTTTCCACTGGTGACAACATGGTCCGGAGCTGGTGCAGTCATGAACCACTGCCTGCCTGCCCCTGCCTGGGGCATGCAGGAAGTGGGACAGAGCCACAGTCTGCTGCCTGAATGCCCCTGCAGGCAATGGATTGCAGACCACTCTGTCACCACTGCAAAATCCCGGCCCCAGCCCTGGAGCAGCTCCTTGCCCAGCCACGTGCTCTGCCAGCACTGCATGGGCCACCAGTCTACATGGAAACCCTGGCCCTGCACTCTCCATGGAAACCTGCTGCAATGACTTGGGCAGGAGCTGCTGGGAAATGGAGTCCAGCCGCCAGCTGGATCCACCGTTTTGCCCACCCCGGTCTACATGCATTTCTTAACTGCATTGTGTTTCATTAGCGTTATATTTATCATGGACTTCTAAAGCTAAAGAAGCAGGGGTATGGACAACCGCGCATTTCAGCTCTTTTAAAAGGGGACAGGACAGTAGCTTGAACACACAGCAGCTGTTTTGCTAGAACTTTTACATCTGTGTGAGCCTGTAGAGATGCAAGTGAGCTAAGTTACCCTATTTGACTCTAAATGAAACAGAATTAAAGACGGAGCAAATTTGCTATGTTTGTATCACTACAGAATCGTGTACTTCCTAGCCTCAGAACTGCACAGGCACTCTTCCCCCATGCAGTGGGAGGAGGATATACAATTATTATGTCTGTCCTTTTTCATTGCCTGTTCAGGCTAAAAATAATGCTCAGCCTATAAACCATTTCCAACTTATAGAAAAAAGACTAGCATAAAACAGTTTGAAATCCTGAGTGTTTGGATCATTTTGGTGTTTTGCTTGTGTTTTTCCTCTCAGTCCCTTGAATCCAAATAAATTTGATTCCACAGATAGTTCTGGAGACAGGATGCCAAATACTGATCATCCTCTGAGAAGGGAAAAACAACAATTGATTGTGCTAATGTGTTGGATTATCCTATCCCATGGTATTTTCATATACCTACAAAGATATGATTTCTATCCTGAAGGTTTTGCCATTTAAAGCCCACTTGAATGTGCATGCCTGTGTGTTGCAGCACCTCTGTGTAAGACAGGTGACACACTCCAAAGCATGCACTGCTATGGACTAGTGTCTGTGTTCTTTAATGGGCAACACCCTTATTAGTCCTTCCTGATGGAAATGAAGGAAGGAAAGTCAGGCATGCTAATCTACATACATTAAGGAGAACAGAAGTAGGCATGAGAGAAATTCATGGCAAGAGTGCAAGCTTCCCTCTTCCTGGCACATCTAGGCCACCATCCCATGAAGGCACTGTGACAGAAACAAGCATCTTTACAATGTGGTAGCAGAAGCAATAGGCTACTATAAAAAATAAAAAAAAACATTTGGCATTGTCTCCAAGTGGAGGATGTGGCTATTGTATTTTATTTAGTTCAAGACTGATAGAATGTACTGATTTACCCTCAACAGGTGCAAGGTAATGTGGCTTGGGAAAGAGACCATCAGATCAGTGTGCAGTGGCAACCAAAAAAGCTAATAAAATGCTGGGCGTCATTAAAAAGAGAACTGAAAACAAAATGGAAAACATTATCATATTATACAAATCAATGGTGTGCCCACCTCTTAAGTACTATATACAGTTCTGGTCTCTGCATCTCAAAAAGAATTTAGCAAGATTAGAAAGATACAGAGAAGGGCGATTTAAAATGAACAGGGTTATAGAGCAGATGCTGTACCAGGGACAGTAAAAAGGCTAGGACTCTTCAGTTTGGAAAGAAGGTGGCTGAGGTAGGATATGATAAGAATTCTATAAAATCGTGAAGAGTGTGGATACAGTGAATGGAAAACTATTATGCACCAAGTCCCAAAATACTAGAACTAAGGGTCCTTCACTGACAGTAGCAGAGCAGGCTCTAAAACTAACAAGAGAAAGCACTTTTTTATGCAGAATGTAATTAATTTGCCCCACCAATGAATTGGGCTCACCAGCCAGATCCGGCCTGCAGATGGACCTGGCGCTGCCCACCCAGCCTGCAGGGCAAAAAGGTTGGGCAGCACTGCCGTAGCTATACCAGTTCCCTGCTCTTGCTCTCCCTCTAAAACATCCACTCCTGCCAGTGTTGGAGACATGGCACAGGGCTAGATGGACAGCTAGTCTAACCCAGTGTGATATTTTTTGTGTTCATACGATCGTAACTAAATCGATTCTAGTGTACTTTTGTTGATTTATGTTTTCCAGTGATTGGAATACCCACACGAGGAACAAGGCTAGCAACTGCTGTAGATGATTCAGTGGATAGCTTACTGCAGCGCATGGCACAGCATGAAGGCCAGGCTGTTCTGGACAAAACCTTAGAAGCAGTCATTGCAAATGTATCTGTTCCGCCTTCCGCTAGTCCCGGTCGAAACCTCAACAGGGAAAGAGGTTTCGGGAAACAGGACAGTCTCTTGGCTCCAGCAGTTACAAATGACTCTTGCAGTGATGGCATCTCACATCTTTCAGACAGATTACCAAGCAGCTACTCCCCACATCATCTCAAGAGAAGCATGGTAGAAGCCATGCAGCGACAGGCTAGAAAAATGTGCAATTACAACAAGATATTGGCAACTAAGAAAAATCTGGACCATGTCAATAAAATTCTAAAAGCCAAGAAGTTGCAAAGGCAGTCACGGACAGGAAATAACTTTGTGAAGCGCAGGCCAGGCAGGCCACGGAAGTACCCAATGCAGGCAGTAGTTTCAATGCAAGCTTTCCAAGCCGCTCGCTTGGTCAGTCAGGAATTAGACAAGAGGGAAGAGGGCAGCAGCACTTTACACCTCGGACCTGATACTGTCACTGATGTCATTGAGGCTGTAGTGCAGAGTGTGAACTTGAATGCAGATCACAGAAAAGGGTGGAAAAGGAAGAGGTGGCTCGAAGAGGAACAGGCCCAGAAAAGACAGAAGCCTTTACCAGAAGATGAGCAGGAAAGCAATAAAAGGTAAATCCATTATATTCCCTTAACTTCCCAGTGTTCACAATTGAAAGTCATAGCAAAAGCATTTCTCCGTCACTTAAAAGATGGCTTTTTCCACTCCATATACCTGGCCAGCTACGTTTTCTGTCAGACAGAATAGACTGGGTTGAGGCCACCAATTAATTTCCCATAGGCAGTGAACAATTTTTGCTTTCATAACCAGATAGTAAGAATATTCAATCCTTTCTGACTTAGGCTGGATTTGAACTGGTGGCCCAACCTGACCCACCCAGTTTCCCAGATGTCATTATAATAATTGACTTGTTTCACTGTTGGTGTTAAATTATGGGCTGTCCATTACTAGTGCACTAAAAAGGGAGAGAGCACAAGAAGCCCTCTTGCTTCAATGCAGGGAACAGGCTCACAGAGTCCCTTAAGTGAAAAGGAGAGCTGTGTGGAGCACAACCTTAACCGTCTCTGCAAAGATTTAGCAAAGTTGTTGTCTCCCCGTACAAGGGAGGCATGGGGGCAGGTTTTCAGTAGAGACTGGTAATTTGGGGTGGACCAAGGCACTTTAAAGGAGCAGGATTTTAAGCAGGAAAGTGCTCAGCAGTGTTTTGAAAAACCAGTCTGTCCCCTGTTTGTCTAGTACTGAAATTGGGGCAGAACCTCTTCTTCCACTGAGCTTGTGTTTTTCAGAATGAACATTTAATGCAAATTAGTTGTGAGTTTGGGAAAGATTTTTGTGAGATGGTGCTAGGCTAGCAAAGAGTTGCCTAGTGAGGAAATGAAAGTGGTGGTTCTGTCCATTATGAAAACTTTTGATTTGAATTTTCTTTGGCACGTCACAGATGCACAGTCTACATTAATAACAAAAGTACTATATTGTACATAAGTTTAAGTTGATCTATACACAAAATAAATACAAGCATCAAGGAAAATTGAGGTCTGTACCTCACCACTAGAACTGCTACTGTGCACCACAGACAACACATCAGAAGTGTCACTCTGTCCATCCTCTAGCACAAACAGACTAGGTTCCCCCCAAATTTTGCCTTGCTATCATTTCTTTATCATTCTGGAAAATCATACACACTGACATTTGAGAAACTGTGCAAACATCACCCAGGAGTGTGTAAGGATTATACTATGATAAATAAAGTTAATACTTTTGTTGTGTTAATTTTTAATTACGTTACTCCAAAATATCCTTTAAACTCTCCTTTTGAGAATATCTTTATTCTTTTGGCTTTTAGTTATTAATCTGAAAGGCCCAATTTATCATGCAAGAAAAAAATAAAAATTTTAGATCAATTTTGAATTGATTAAAACTCAAGAATTAAAAGATTGGGAAATCCTCAGAAAACTTTTCCTTTACCTTGCATCCTGAGCTGGATCTGGATCATGGGGCTCCTTGCAGGCCAGATCTAGCCTGGAGCACAGTATGGCTCTAGCCCAAGGCACATGGTTTTAGCTACAGCTCCAGTTCCAGCACAGAGCGTACAGCGGCTAGGGAGGTAGGTCAGGCACAGCAGTGGCAGTAACAGTGGGCCAAGTGGCCACAGGGCAGCTGGGGTTGTCACCCTTGCTCGCCCTGACAACAGTTGCCATGTCTGCTGGGGCCCAAGGGTCCCAGATTTTGCAACACGTCACCCCTCCCAGATGCACCCCCAACTTCCAGTTGCCTGCCCCTGAGCAGGTTAAAGCATCTCCACAGGCCAAATCCAGCCCATGGGCCATACATTTGACACATCTGGTTTAGCACGAGCAGCATAATACTAGCTTCCCTGCCTCAACCAGTAGTGAGGGACCAACACAGCTGCCTACAATCTGCTCCCTCCAAGTAAGCTGCTCATTTGTCCACTCCAAAGTCAATCCCAGTGTATATTACAGGGCTGTAAATGTGTTGTATTTCCATGTCCTCAGTTACACTGACTCATATCAGATACCCCCAGCATCTGGTGGAGTCACTTCTTATTTATAGTACTGTAAAGAGGAGAAGTAAGCCCCATATCTGAAAATCTGTAACTAATAATTACTACTGGGAGAATGCTGAATAACATCAAATGTTTATCAACAAAGAACAAGCAATTTCTCAACCAAAATGAACTTGGGTAGTAATGGAATTAGTTCTAAAAAGTTCTGTTTCCAAGCAGACTTATTTTTTAAGTACAAAGAGAACTCACACTTGTATCCATGTGCACAGTTCGCTAGTCATCTGTCTGTGACTACACCCATATAACAGCTGTCTGTGACATTATGCTTTAATGCTTCAGCGATAGATTAAATTCTTTGTTTATTATAAAGGTAACTGTTACTTACGAACAATTTTACTTGAATTGCAAAAATGGTGATGACAAAAGGCATTGCAATTCCACAAGCCGTAGACCTTCTTTGTTCTTCTTTTTATGAATGGAATAATGATGTTGCAGTATCTTTACATTTTCTTCCAGCTTTTCTGAAACAACAGGTGAAACATCCAGTCCCCAGGAAGCCACTGGAAAGCCACCTGAGTCTCAAAACACTGAGCAGCCTTTGCCTTCACTTACTCAGCGTGAGAAAAAAGCTCCTAGGCCCCCCAAGAAGAAGTACCAGAAGGCAGGGCTGTACTCTGATGTGTACAAAACCACAGAGTAAGTAGTACCACTGAAACACTGCTGTCTGATATTCCAGGGGAAGATGTCTCCTTTCAACTAGAACCTTAAAAAACTGCTACTAATGAGCAGCTGAAATGAAACCACCAACTTAATCCAATCCTGTGAAAAATTACATGCATGATAATTATCAGAATCTGACCCAGTGAAAATTTAAAATGTAACCCCAGTCAGAAAGCAGCCTCCAGCAATCTGAAAGTGTTGCTGAGTATCAGCCTTGAAGAAAATTAAGACAGCTTCATTCGACAGTCTTAATGATCATGGCAATAAAAGGGCTGATGGAACTTGATATACTCAGGTACTGAGTACAGTGTCCGCATAAAAAGGGCCATTAGTTTTCTCACTTTATTGATTCATGATAACAGAGTCGTCTTTAGTGTGACTAGCTTTTGAAGTGAAGGAACTTAATGCAGCTGCCAAAGATGCAGCTCTGTTTCCTGTTCATGTATAGTTAAATTATGTTAATCTCCCTCATTTCACACTTAATGTTTAATGTAAAGAGCTGTGAGTCTCGAAGTTTTTTTCCCCATGTGTCTCAAAACTGAAAAGAGGGTGTGTCTCATGGAGATATCTTCTCCTGCTTTCCCCTCTGATTTTACATTAGAAAAAAACCTTGCAGTAGCTACAATAATTGCTTATGTTGAGAGTGTTGTGTTTTCACAAGTTTCTGGTCTGGCACATAATAAAGAAAAGGGGCAACACCAAGTGACCTCCATAGACCACTAGCAATTGTGTCCTGGAACAAAGTGGCATATTTGAAAAGGACTGTGAGTAAGGATGAGTGAGGTTTGTGTTTTGACCAAAATGAGACTGGAGTTGCATTTTTATTCATTTTCTTAGTTGTTGGAAGCACATCCTCTAACAGTTGACAGTGTTCCTATCCTTTGGATGTTCTTTTGAAGACAAGGGTTTATTTCCTGAAATGAAGTATTAAATATCAAATTTTCTTACCATTTTTGCAGGCAGTAGAATATTCCCACTGCAGTAGAAAGGTTGCCCTTGCAGAGGAGTTGTCAGAATCATTCATTTCTTTGTAAGAAAAAAAAAGTACCTGGCAAAAGAGAGTGATGCAATGCAGGAGTAGTGCACAGATCTCTGACTTGTCAGATGCTTTTTGAATAGTTCAAGAGGATTTCTAGATTCATAGGAATTGGGCATGAATATAGAGAAAAGTTCACCACTGTTCAGAAGGCTAGTTAAGAGCCTATGCACTATTTAAGCCACACTTAATTTCTCAAAGCACTACTTAGATGTTGCATAGACCTCGAGTGGCCCTTATTAACAGAGGGGCACATTTCACTCTTCATCCAATTTTGTAGATTGAGCAACTGTCTAATTAGGCATCATACTGGTCTTTTCACTGTTGTATTTGCATACCAGAGAGGCACAAAAGAGTTAAGTAACATGCTCAAAGTCAGTACAGGGTTATTGATTTCTAGTTCTCTTTCCAGTCTCTTGTATCATGCTACCACTGTTCTTGCATTAAATCTAGTCCTTTGAAACAATCATGGCTGCAATACAAGGCCTCAAGAAGAATGGAGCAGAGGAAATGTGAATGTTAGAGCTCCAACAGGAATGTAGAGAAACTCCCTGCTAAAGTTGCTTCTTAGTACAGATATGTACAGACATAATCTTAAGCATTTGCTCCATTGAGTGAGTTACCCCATTAGTGTCAGTAGGATTACTTATGAACCAAAATATAAAATAGTATGCATAGCTGTATTACTATGTGGCCCTTAGTAATTATCTTAATGAAAAGAACAAAAAATCACTGATTAAACTCATTCTCAACCTCCCTGTAAACTGTAGAGACAGATTTGACTAAACTGCAGCAACTACGAAGTACTACATGGAGTAAATATATTGTGTCCGCCTCCCCGCCGTCATTCAACAGGGTAAATTAAGTGGTTGATAGAGAAGGTACTCTGAAGGGATCCATGCATAACCACCCTTTCTGTCCCCAAAGCAAGCTGCATCTATTTCCTTTCAGCAGAAATGATTAAGAGGTCTGACATTCAGATGATATGGGAGTGAATTTTGACTCATAGTTTTTAAAAGTTTGCTGCATGACATTGGAAACCTGATTCTCCATTTCCCTTTGTCAAATTAGAATCATATGCAGGAGAGGACTGATTCCCAACCCATAGGCAATAAAACAAGATCAGTTCAATTGTTGAAAAAATTAAGCAGATAAAAAAAAAATTAAAGGGTATCATAATTACCCCATAGTCTTTCAGGTCCTTTGTGGCTAGTACATGCTGTTTTATCCAGGGACTACTAGTTGATTGGAGAAATATACAGTAGTTCTGACAGTTTTTAAGTAATTTCAGCCATATCTGTGACTATAAAAACATGACATGGCATGGCCTCATCCTGGAGGGCCGTCTCCAGTGGCATCCCTCAGGGATCAGTGCTTGGGCCCGAGCTCTTTAACATCTTTAACAACGATCTGGATGAGGGAGTGGAAAGCGTAACGATTAAGTTTGCAGATGACACCAAGCTGTGGGGAAAAGCAGGCACATCTGAGGACAGGGCAGGTATCCAAGATGACCTTGACAGGCTGGTCCTGTGGGCTGAATGCAGTCAGATGAAGTTCAATAGGGATAAGTGCTGAGTCCTTCATTTGGGTAGGAAGAACCTTCACCACAACTGTACGATGGGTGGTGGTCCACAGGCTGGCACAGCATCTGAAAGGGACCCAAGAGTGACAGTCAACCAAAGGATAAATATGAGTTATCAGTGTGATGAAGTTGCCAGCAGGGCAAATAGAGCTCCGGCATGCATGAGTCAATGTGTTGCCAATAGGTCCAGAGAGGTGCTCCTTCCCCCCTGTTTGGTGTTGGTGAGGCCACAGCTGGAGTAGTGTGTCCAGTTCTGGGCATCACACTTCAAGAAGGATATGGATAAGCTTGAAAGAGTACAGAAAAGGGCCACCTGCATGATCAGGGGCCTGAGGGTTCGGCCCTATGAAGAGAGGCTCTGGGAACTGGGCCTGTTCAGCCTGAGTAAGAGAAGTCTGAGAAGTGACTTGATAGCCACCTACAACATGGAGAGGGTCCAGAGGAGGGCCACTTGCATGATCAGGGGGCAGCAGGGCAGGCCCTACGAGGAGAGGCTACGGGACCTGAACCTGTTCAGCCTCCACAAGAGAAGGCTGAGGTGGGGTCTAGTGGCCTGTTACAGACTAGTCAGGGGGGACCAGCAGGCACTGGGAGAGTCCCTGTTCCCCCCGAGCGCTACCAGGAGTGACCAGGAATAACAGTCACAAGCTGGCAGAGGGTACATTTAGACTAGATATCAGGAGGCGCTACTTCACGGTCAGGGCGGCTAGGATCTGGAACCAACTTCCAAGAGAAGTGGTGCTGGCTTCTACCCTGGGGGTCTTTAAGAGGAGGCTAGATGAACACCTTGCTAGGGTCGTTTGACCCCAGTACTTTTTCCTGCCAAGGCAGGGGGTCGGACTCGATCTGCTCAGTTCCCTTGCAACCCTACCAAGTATGAACCCCAGGTGCCCCCTAGACCCAGGAGGCACCAGTCACCAGGTTTGGGGGGATCCTCCATGCACTCCCCAGCAGACCCAGAAGTGGACTGGAAGTGTT